TATAATAATATTTATAAAAAATATCACTATAATTGCTTTCATAAAGGTCTTTCAGTAATGAGACCCTGATGATCATTGGGATAAAAGAAAAAATTATGATATTTATGATCCTTCAATAATGTTCAGACTTCTTGCAGATCCCAAAATTATAATTTTCTCTTATAATAAGATAACAAAAAAAAAACATAAAGAAAAGAAAACCAACAACCCAACTTACAGTGTTTCTACTGTAAATGTCATATCAAGTAATATAGTTCTGCACCAAATTACAAGTTTTAAGATCTTATTTGTATTAAATTCTACATCAGTTTTTGTAACTATAATATCTCCTCATCTTTTGTCAACCCAGCTGCTTTATATTTGTTGGCAAATCATTATATTATTCTGTTTATAAATTCAAATACCCTTTATCTAACTTCACTTTAATCTTAACCTTTCTTTTGTTAGTATTCACTCTCAAAACTCCTAAAGAGTCATTTTATTTTTCGCTTAATCAAACAGCGGGCTTTGCACCTGGACTTTTAAACCCGACTTGGGTTACAAAGTCAATTATAGAAGTGTATCATTTTAAAACATGCAGAATTATGACAGTTTGTCTAAACAACTTCATCTCGACTTCATCTCAGCAACAATACAAGGACAGATATATCAATTTCTTTTGTGGTTAACTAGAATAAGGACAGCATATGGTTTATGACAGAATCATGAAAAAGACGGGGTATACCTTTGTGGTGTCCATATCTTGTTTGTATCATAGTTTTGAGACCTTTCTGTTGAAAATGTGTCAGGGTTAAATCGTATACATATACATGCACAGTGCGTTAACTAATACCCGCACTCCAGAGCATGCCCATTGATTGGCTCATTTTTGCTGGGGTTTACATATTATGACGGCAGAGAAAGGGAAAGCGACAGAAATGTCATATTCAGATGTTCGTTCATTGGTTCATTTTTGCGGGGGTTTCATATTGTGACAACAGGGAACATGCTTTTATGTTTGACTATGATACAAAAGAGAAAGAACACCAAAACACTCGGCAATCTGATTAATACTCGAGGGGGGGGGGGCATAGCCCCCCCCCCCCTGTACAAATCAGATAGCCTCGTGTTTCGGTGCTCTTTCTATTACTTATCTGTATAAAGAAAATTTAAAATTTTGATTTAAGTGTGCATGATTGTGACTATGTCTTGATGTTTCTTTTTATTTTAATTGTTTAGAGAAATGGGTATGTTAATGATATTTACATTCCAGGAACTTTATTATACAAAATCATATATGTATATAATATAAATGCAAATTAACATTTCATATTTTTTATTATATAATTGTCTCTCATATTGATTTTAATGTTTAATATGAAAACTGTTTAACAAAATGAAATGATACATAAGTTTTGAATTTGGAAAGGCATCATTTAATGATGACAATTTCAAAACGACAGTACATACAGACGGAAAGTACTACGTTTCAGTTTTAATAATAATAATTTTCAACACATAATAAATCAATAATGTAGTTGAGGAATGTGATATATTATTAGTTATAAAGATTGTTGACAGGTTATATGGCCCTATATAAACTGCTATTTGTAAATATAACCCAAGCCACTAACCTGCAGTATTATAATTTATAATATATTTTCATTAATGTAACTTTAGTGTATAAAGTCAGATGGGATAGCAGTATTTCAATAAAATTATAAAACATTAACCTTGGTCAATTAATTATTACCAGTAGTCTAGTAAAAATCTAGTAAAATTACTCTGAACACTTAATTGCTGCCATACTCCTGATCAATTTAATTTTGTAAATGCTTATTTATGAACCCTAACCTGTACATAAATCCTCATGGTTCAAAGAAAAAATGTATATTCTGGTTGAAAAGATTCATAATGTTGCGGACATAGTGCATGCAAGTGAATATAAAATCACATGATTAGTTGGCGTTAGGTTTTTATTACTATCATGACAGTATAACGGCCACATTCTGTTTCTCAGGGGCCATAACTCTTTGTTTGCAATATCATTGTAATGGCTATTTGATCATAAAATGGTTCTGAAGTACAGAAAAGCGTGCCCCTATGCTTTATGTGCTTTGTTGTTAATTGGTGCATGAAAGAATGGTGAAAGGATGTAAAAGTGGTCACCACGGGAGGTACCAATCAATGATAGAGACACATGGTCAGAATCGCGGGGACATTTGATGACCATGTCAGCTTGGTGTAAAGATTTCTAGCTGATTTAATCTTGTCCACTTGAAGCCTAACAGCTGCCTCGACCTACGGCTTACATAGGATTAAATCATGAAAAAAAAACGTGCCAGTCCCCAATAATTATATAGATAATACACGGTTATATGGTTTTGTGATTATTATTTATTATTGAACGGAAGGAGATTTTTGTGTGGTGTAAAAAAATGACCATTGGCAGTAAGTGACACATGAAAAAATAGAATAAAAGCTAGGTGTTTCCCATTCACACGGCACTAAAGGGAAATTGAATTATAATTATATTAATGATTCTTTTATATACAGTTCTAAAGTTGAATGTTTAATTAACTTATAAATATAAATATTTAGGAGAACAAAATATTGTAATAATGTATTTCTGCAGGATTAAAAAGCAAATTAAGAATACATTAGAATAAAGTTTATGTTATCTCATGCATAATAGTCATTTTGTTGTATTTGTTACTATATTTACATATTTTAGATGATCACTGAAACTGCAAAAATATTTAAATGGTATTTTATTTTTGATGTAGTACAATTACTGTTGACAATAAATTAACAGTATAAACTTCGGTATGTCAAAATATCTCTATTTAGAAATTTAAATGTATTGATACTTTTTTCAGATTCTGACAGAAACGTCATCAAAAGTAACAACCGAATCTAGAGATAAAGTATTTATGGTAAGTATGAAATATGTCACTATTATAAATGAGTTTAAAGAAATCTTTCAAGCATTATATTAAATATTATATTGGAAAATATTTTTTCTTTAACCTGCTAAAACTGAAACTGACCATGAGCCTTTCGCCAGGTCAACTTTAAATTCTCTATTGGCTGACCACCTATAAATTTCATCTTCATATCCCCAAAATTGATAATGGATTGTCCCAAAATTGAAAAATGAAAATTGAACTACAAATCTTTATTGAAGTAATTGAATATTTAATTGAAAAATCATTCTGCCCAGCTTGTAATTAAATCAATAAAATCCAAAGTGAGACGTGTTCGTAAAAATCTGCCTTAAGAATGAGCATTAATCAAATTTTATTACATTTTAGCTCATGCACGCTTATAAATCTACTCGTTAAAAAAATTATTGACAATTACTGTCCGTGCGAGACAATGAAAACGAAGTTTATCATTATTTGGCACACATTTTGCCTCTCTGATACCGTTTGATTCCGACGTATCATAGTGATCAATACCAATCTACTGATTAAACATCGCCTCGTCATTGATTGGTGGATCTCTGGATGGGACACGATGATGAGACGGTAGTCAATGACACCTCGCAATTACAATAATAACCGATAAACGTATATGAAACTTGATATATACACAATTTGCAAAACGGTAAAAGTTTTCTTTGTTCCCTTTAACCGCCCGCTTTTGTTAAATGAATAAATACGCAGGATGTCTGTAAATAGAGTAAATTGGTTTGAAGAAATTATGAAGTCCACTTTGTCAATTGAATAAAATGTTTTTATCATTGTTAAAAGGGCAGCTTAAATTAAAAGTAGGTCAGAGTTCTTTATTACGATTTCAAAAACATTTTGTTATTTACAGGGGTTTCTCTCTCTGTTTTACGTGAGCAATACCTCTAAATGTAGAAGTGTAAATTTTCAAGTTGTTTTCCCTAAATGTAGTAATTAAGAATTACAGGCAATTTTTACTGTACATACATAGTGACAATATTTGTGTTGCTCATTATTACGTACAATTTATTTTATTTTCAAAATATATTGTTAATAATGCCCTGCTTTTGTCAGATATGGCAGGTGAAATTCAAAAAGAAAAAAAGGGAAAATACATACTTTTATACTTTAGAGGTGTGTGGGGTGGGGGGTTTAATGAGTTCATGAATCGAGGGGCCTGATTTATATACTATGTTATAAACTAGTCATAGATTATGCAGTGACAGTTCTTAAAAAAAATACATTTTTATCTAATTTTAACATTTATGTAGTTATAATTGCTGACACTTTTCTTTTTTAGCATTTATCGAAGACAAATTTATCCACAATATTTAGTGACATAAAATTTTCCCAACAACAAGGTCATGTTCCCTTTAGGCCAAACGAAATAATTATATTTTTCTGGATATTGCTCCCCATCACCCCACTACCCACTAACCGCAGAAAAAATAAAATTTAGGTTAGCTTTGTTCACAAGATGTAATGAAATTCATGCTAAACTTCAATACTTTAATGTCAAGACAAATTTACAGTTGCATAAATTTAATCAGAAACAGATTTTATTTTATCTGGCCTTAAAATACAACAGCACCCTTAAAATTCCAGTGACTTTACTAGGCTTTTTTTAATCAACCAAATTTGGAGGAAAGTTTTTCTGCAAACAAAAAGCTCCTCGAACATAATATAGTAGAAAGTGAAAGAGTTAATTCAAATTTGCAAGCAATTCACATTATTCTTGAGTTTTCATTTGGTAATTGCGGGAGGGGTATTGATTCTACAATTTAATTTCTCCATTTTCTTCACATTGCTATTAATTTACACTTCTTTTATTTCTAATACCCCGTAATATCCAGTTAACTTTCTTCTTTCCCAATGACTGTGAGCTTAACACAGTAGTGAAATGTTGATTTAACAATGGAAAATGTTTATAAATTAAATGAAGTGTTTATTGATTATTACATAAAAGGACTATTTTCTGTTTGCAATGCAAATAATTTGTTTTCAAACAGCAGATGGGTACTTCACAGGAATTAGTGGATTTTTATGTTTTTGTCACACTTTTGTAGGACATTTAGTGGTAACTTCAGCAGGACTGATTTAAGAATCTGATGTAGGAGAATTAAAGAGAGTGATTCTTCAGTTAATTTTATAACTTAATGATACAAGATATTGGGACAGTGTTTATTATAAAGAACAGTTGGTTAATTTATTATGAATGAATACTAATTTCAATGTAACTCCGAATTAATTTCATAACTTGCAGAACTGATAAGGAGTTTTTGAAGACAATTGGTATAATATAGTATAAGAGGAGAAGGAAAGTTGATCAGATTACAGAAAGATTGGCAATTAATTGGTAAGTTGTATTTAATTGGTATAAAAAATTTAACTGGTTAATATTGATTTGCATTTAACAGCTGGGGCTATTATATAGATTCAACTGTATTTTTATTTTTTATTATTAAGTTATCTAAGGGGTATACAAAAAGTGAGGCCGTTGGATTTCCGCTTGAACTTGTTGCAATTGTTTAAAGCCTAAAGAAAATGGAAACTTGTATGTACTGGGAGTGCTAGCCAACATTTTAAGCCTGGGTACATGCTTGTACATAGAAAAATGCAGGTTCTGGCCTCTGTCACGTTGGGGTTAGTACACTTAGTGCCTGAAAGGGCGAAATATCGGAACCTTATTAAACTTAGAACACACACACAACTTTGTCACATCCTCTAAGCAGCTAAACTGTAATTAATAATAAAACAGGATTCGGTGTTAAATGGTTGTAAATAATTTTCAAAATAAAGAGGTCACTAGTAAATACAAACCAGTACCAAAGTCCTTAATATGACTGCATTTTAAATGACCACTTGGCTTCCTAGAGGTGGGTACTTTTTGGCTGATTATTGGGCCTTATACAGGCTCTAATTATAAGAGGATATTTTTTCGTTTGAGTGAAATTTGGAATATATTTTCACAAAACATGATAAAATGCCACATATTTTCACGAGCCGGGACGGCGAGTGAAAATATCCGGCATTTTATCATGTTGAGTGCAAATTTATACCATATTTCACGAAAAACGAAAAAATAACCTTTTTATTTAATTTCATATTAAAGAAAAATGGTTAAGAACCCCATTGCTTGCTAAACAACTGCAACTGTACAGCGCGCAGGAATATATTTTTGCATCTTGTTTTGCACGCGATATTTGGCGATACATTGTGACGTCACGTAAATAACTCTTTAAACGTCTATACAACGTTAATAACTGAATTAAAGATATTGGTCTTCGGATTTATTTTCTTAATTAGACCATTTTCTATCATTCTAGATAGTTTTCAAAACGAAATTCAACAAAAAGTTGTTTTGTATTTCTCAGATTTTTCAAACAAAATGGCGAAAGAAGTCCTTTAAAATAATAATTTCGACTCAGCCCACTTTATCTTCACGCCAAAATTTTGAAAGGATGAAAAAATTGCATTTCCAATATTGATGCTAAAAACCATGCAAAGTGAAATAATTATTCTGGTAAACTATAAAATATACTGTAATTATATACAATGTACATTTTATTCAACTATCAGAGCTCAGGTGTCCATGGCTGAGTGGTTAAGGTCTTTGACTTGAAACTATTTGCCCCTCACTGCTGTGGATTCGAATCCCTACAGGGACTTTGGATTCTTTCATGTGAGGAAACTATCCAGCTAGCTTATTTTCATGCCTGAAATAATGCGCAGAAATGCACTGGAGGTCTTCCTCCCACCAGTGAAGATGGAAACTTGCCATATGACCTATACTGTGTAGACGTAAAACCCAACCAAACACTACTATATAGGACTAGAAATTAACTTTTTTCGTGCATTTGAATATAAATTTTCTTGCTTTTAATTCTTAAAAATTTACAAGAATACCTCAAATGAACTTTCAGTTCAACTTACCGTTACACACTTCATAGGAATAATTAAAAAATCACATTGAATTTTTCTATTTATTGAAATATTTCAAATGATAACTTTAATGCATCCATGTCAGACTATTTCTGTTTAAAATATAGATTTGAATTACCGTATAAACAATCATAGGAAATTTAACTTAGATTCTGTTTCCTTATAACTATATTATTTATAAAATGATATAAAAGCCCACAGAAATCTTTTGTCTTTTCTCTGTTATGGGTTGCCGTAAAAGTATTGTAATTTAGATGTTGAAAAAAAAAAAAAAATAACAATATATACATTTAATAACATTGATCAGAATTCTGAGGTTCAATTCATGACATGTGTTGTTTTTTTCTTTCTTGTAACTTGCATGTTGTTTTACATTCTTGAATATTAGAGAGTCATTTATCTCGGCAAATCAATGAAGATAGACGCGGAAATTTGTTGCTTGGCCAAGTTTTATTGTATATTTAAGCCATTTAACATAATCTTACTGTCTAGGAAAATATACAGAAAACTGTTTATGGTCTTGTTAATATTATTTGATATTTCGGAGGCAATCCCGGTATTGGCGCGGCAAAATCGTGCCAATTACGAGCATCTTGATAATGTTGTTTAAAGCAACAAGTTCCGTGCAGCTTTTTATAGATAAAAGAATATGTTGTTTTATATATATATATACAATTTATCATGAATGTATTGAAAGATCTAATGATTTCTTTTGGGAAGAAATGAAAAGTCTGTTATACAAAGAAGTTTAATGGACTATTATTATAGTTCTATACTGTGAGACATCAACTTTTCATTCTCCCCAAAGGGAGAGCATTATATTGTCGCCGCTTGGCTGGCTGTCCATCCATCCACATTTTCTTGTATGCATAAAAAAAAATCAAACTCTACCTAGCCTAATTTTGGAGTTATTGCCCTTTTTTCATTTTTACACTTTGAACTTTATCCGGAACTACAAGGGGTATCAACAAGAAACTTAGTAGATGGATAGATCTCATTGGGTAAAATTGCAGTGCATAAAAACTGTAACTCTGTCTTGCCTTAATTTGGAGTTATTGCCCTTTTTCATTTTTAGCTTACCTGTCACAAAGTGAAAGGGTGAGCTTTTGTGATCGCTTTTCGTCCGGCGTCCGGCCGGCGTCCGTCGTCCGTCCGTCGTCCGTAAACTTTTACTTTAAATGACATCTCCTCATAAACCACTAAGCCAATTTCATCCAAGCTTCACAGGAATGTTCCTTTGGTGGTCACCTTTGAAAATTGTTCAAAGAATTAAATTCCATGCAGAAAAAACTTTAAATATCTTGTTCTAAAAAACCCAAAGAGCTAGAGCTTAGATATTTAGCATGAAACACCTTCTAGTGAGTGTCTACCAAGTTTGTTCAAATAAAAGACCTGGGGTTAAAATTGGCCCCACCCCAGGGGTCATTGATTTTCCCTATATGCATATAGTAAAAACTTAAAAAATCTTCTTTTAAAGAACCCGAAGAGCTAGAGCTAAGATACTTAGCATGAAACATCTTCTAATGGGTGTCTACCAAGTTTGTTCAAATAAAAGCCCTGGGGTCAAAATTGGCCCCGCCCCAGGGGGTCATTGATTTTCCCTATATGCATATAGTAAAAACTTAAAAAATCTTCTTTTAAAGAACCCAAATAGCTAGAGTTTAGATACTAAGCATGAAACATCTTCTAGTGTGTGTCTACCAAGTTTGTTCAAATAAAAGCCGTGGGGTCAAAATTGGCCCCGCCCCGGGGGTCATTCATTTTCCTTATATGTGTATAACAAAAACTTAAAAAATCTTCTTTGAAAAAACTTAAAAAAATAGCTAGAGTTTAGATATTAAGCACAAAGCATCTTCTAGTGAGTGTCTACAAAGTTTGTTCAAATAAAAGCCCTGGGGTCAAAATTGGCCCCGCCCCAGGGGACATTGATTTTCCGTATATGTGTATAGCAAAAACTTAAAAATCTTCTTTGAAAAAACTTGAATAGCTGGAGTTTAGATATTAAGCATGAAACATTTTCTAGTAAGTGTCTACAAAGATTGTTCAAATAAAAGCCCTCGAGTCAAAACTGGCCCTGCCCCAGGTGTGTCATTGTTTTTATTTATATGTGTAAAAAAACAAACTTGACCAGCTAGACCTTAGATGTTTAGCATGAAACATCTTCTAATGGGTGTCTACCAAGTTTGTTCAAATAAAAGCCCTGGGGGTTTAAACTGGCCCGCTCCGGGGGCCTATATACAGGTGAGCGACTTCAGGGCCATCATGGCCCTCTTGTTTACACTTTGAACTGAGTCTGAAGCATAACTCTGAAACTACAAGAGGTATCAACAAGATATGAATGATTAATATTGTCTTCATGATTGTAGCACTCATCTTTTATGTTGTATACTAATTATGTATAGAGTTACTCTGATGCCTTTATTTGCAAATGATACGGAAAAATGGCAATAAGTATTTTATGAGTAAAGCTAAGAATGGTTATACATGTATAAAATTTATTGTTCTATACAATATAGGAACATTAAAATAGTCTCTCTTCAATTTTTTTATATATTGATATTTTGAATTAAAGGACACTCCTTTTGAAGAGACTCCAATAAAGAAGTTTTTTTGACATGACAAGACTGAAAAAAATTTCTTTTTGAGATTTTTATACCATTAAATTTTGATGTATACCACTTTTTAACTCTCAGTAATAATCTGGTTGAAAATCTCTTTAATTAAATTCTGAATGTATTTCTTTATTATATTTTTGGCTTGCAGCCACGGCTGCAAGCCATTTCATCTGGAAAACTTGTTCCGGTTAGGTGGTTTCCTGCTTACATCTGTTGGTGCATGATTGAACGGGGAACCAGCTGCAATCGTGCCAATCGCAACTTTTCGACCTTTTCCGTCAGTCTTCGGATTAATGATAATAGCCGATGTAGTTCCGATTGTAATTGTGACAATTTGGGCGATTCCGTCATACTGCGGAGTAATATTACGGAAATCTAAGCTATTTTAGTTACTTCGGTAATCCCAGTTTGTGTATATAAATAGGATTTCTATTTTTACTTGATTTATCCGTTTAAACCGTACTAAATTATAAACGAAATTGTTCCGTTTCATTTGTTTTCATTTGTTTTTCAAGACGCAAAAGTTAGTTTCTTTTATAATTGTTTTTTGTCTGTATTAGTTTTATACAATAGAGAATGGTGACTGTAGTATTATTCCGCCTTCAAAGGGTGGTCCTGCTTATCAAATCACGCATGATCGAGTTATATTTAGATCTACTGAACGCAATTCAACTTCTTGGTGAGGTAATCTAAAAATAGCCCATGCATATCATTAACCTTGCCACGTGCTAGTTGATACATGCTTATTAATTGGTACCACGTAACGAAGTATTTTAGTGCATTTACTTGTCTATAAAGC